ATATATATATATATATATATATATATATATATATATATATATATATATATATTCAAAACGTGTTACAAAATTAACTACAGAAGTTGCGCGCACAATGATGTAATGCAATTGCATGGTAAGTATAAGTATCGGACGACACTTTACGGAGTAAGGCAAGAGACGCGGTGAAGCGCGACGAAAAACACGAATTCAACGCATCTGCCAAGGCGCGGACGGGAGAGCTGAGCAACAAGTTGAAGCAACCTAATGGCGGCCGCATCACGTGATTCCAAGATGGCAGCGCCCATGCGGCGGAGGGTGAAAAGGTCTATCCCGGCCCGGAGCACGCATTGGATACCAGTGCTGCGTCAGTGTTCGCCTTCCAGTCCTTACTCACGGAACACTAAAACCAGCCAAACGTTGAACACAACACAGGTCCCCCATCGGCACAGCGAAAGAGAGAAAGGCTGAGAGGGAGAGAAAGAAAGAGAGAAAAAAAAGATAGAGAGAGAGAGACAGACGTGCATAGTGGTGTGGGGATAGCAGCTCCATATTATGATAAAGATATCTAGATTTTCTTGTATCTGAAGGCCAGAAACGGCTAAGTCACTTTCACGTTACCCAAAAAAGCACTTTACAGCATTTCAAGGTTGAAAAGGGAAAGCCAACTTTATGAGTCAGTTAAGGAATTTGGATGTTCTTTTCGATAGAAAACTTGATCGAGAGTTTTTCCTCAACGCACACCATACAATAAACTAGGTTAGATAAACACAAAAATTTGCCATTTTAACGCGATAGTGTTTAGGAACTTGTATCGAAGAAAATACGGCGTCGGCGGGACCGGAAAATCCTGGCATTCACTTGGTGATGTCACAAGTGACGTGACATCTGACGTTACGAGAGTTTCATTTTCCCGCTAGTTATGGCGGGAAAATTTCCGCTGAATTCATCGGGAAAATTTTCCTCTAAATTTAGCGGGTCGATAGGGTCATGACGTTACAGCCACGTGTGACGTCACGTGTGACGTCACGTGACACGTGACGCTACCGAGTAGACCGCGCACACACGCTTGTACGCCTTGGGAACGAGCGCGGGTTTCTGTGGGAAGGCTTTGCGAACGGTGCCCGATAACGCTATTGCGTTCCACTCTTAAAGGCGAAGCTTAAGCGTCCCCCAAGTTTTTGTCATACGTTAATGAAGTTTCTATACACCTTTCCAAAAAACGCTCCCAGGCCGCCGCCATGTTGCTGATGCTGATGCGGCTGGTGCGACTCTCGCGCCCTCTCTCAGCAGAAATTTTCTGCCACTTTCTGGACTGTGAAAACCCGCCGAGCGCGATTCTCTACCTATGTTTGGCCGTTTTGCATTCGATGTTTTCCGACTTCTTTTGAAAGTTTCTATTTAATTCTCTTTATGCGTGCTGCGTACCCTTTCTGTGTTATCTTCCACTGTGAGAAATAGGGCAGGTAAGTGCCTGTCATTCAAGCTTTTCTGCTCAACATTCACGGGAAACGAAGGAGAGGAAAGACGTCTAACGGCATTTGTCGCGATTTTGCGAACAATGACAATTGTTCTCCCCCCTCCCAGCGATAATCCACGCAGAGTCCTCAGTCACCTCCAAAAATAGTTGTCCGAGTCGGGGTGAAAAACGGGTCAGTCGCGTTCGTTCTTTTGCCTTGGTGCTGGTGTGAAAAAAGGAAGCTCTCCCCAAAACGAAGTCATCTTAATTGGATTCCGTCCGATCGTCAAGATGTGACTGTCGTCGACTGCGACTGTTTTATTTGAGATCTTTCTCAAATAACTTCTTTTTGGATAACGCTGCATCGTGTGGTACGTACAGTGTATTGTTCGAATGTTAACACTTTCTAAATTGTATGTCCGTGTCCTGTCCATCGGGAAACATGTTATTTGTGAGCGTGAAAAATGCATGCCTTTCGGCTATCTTCAGTTGTAATTTATTTTCGACAGCTAATCGCTTAGCCATTTGACACGCGGCAAATTGGGTGGCGCCGTCAAAACTTACATTTGTTCTGTCGCGCGCGTACCCAACAAAAATAGTTTAAAGTTTATTTATTTTTTCAAATGTGGTACAATGCTTTGTTAATGTCCTCGGGAAAAAATATATACCGTTAAACACAAAATATAGCGAAAAAAGACGAGATTTTAGCTGCCAGCAGTGTTTGAAACTGCGCCTATTGAAATCAGTCCACTCGGTCAGGGTTAGCAGAAATACCGGTGAGATTCTATCATCAAACGCAATGACTGGGCTCGAAAACTATTTGTTGCCCCTGGAGTCGAGTGTTTTTTGGAAAGGCGTATTTTGTATTTCATAAAAAGAAAAAGATTGTTTTTATTTTCATTGAAACGAAGACTGACCGAGACAGATTCAGAACCTGCGATTAAATATGCTAAAGCTCGACAGTGCGTGTAGTGAAACATTGTTCTTCACACGAAGTCACGATCAGTTCAAATTTAATTCCTGCTAGTTTTTTGTACCGTGTGACGTATATTAAATTCCCCAAGTTATTAGGGGCTCCTCCCTCACCGAACTGCCCTCTACGGGGAAGACACGAGACGTCTGCTTAAAGAAGACAAGCTTTCCCCTGTCCATATATATAGACAAGAAAAGTTTACTTTGTGACAATTAACCGCAAATGTCAACCACAGTGCATGCGAGAAGGCAAGATCGAATCTTTCCGTTACAACAAAAACCCCAAAACCTGAACTGCCGTTCGTGACAGCACTTAGAACAAAGGCCGTTAAAACAAACAGCAAAACCCGGAAAAAGCTAGCTCGTTATCAACTCGCAAAACACGCGCACGTTTTACAAACTCTGCTCTAAACATTCCTCTTGCCGCCTTCCGATCCTTGTTATAAAAATGCGGATTTTGGCGGCGGTAGCGGCGTGTCGGCGTCAGCCTTCGCCCTTAAACACGCTTTTAAACATCGTGCTACGTTGACTTCGCGCAAACTTGAGCTAATTGGTCTCGCTAAGCTTCGCACGACGCGCGACACCTAAGCGGAATGACGAAAACAATCCCTGGAGAAGGGGAACAAGAGGGACAAAGGACAAACACAAATCTCCAAACACAGCTAGGTAACTGGTGCGCGACCGAAAAAATCCGCCTGGTCCGGGTATCGAACCCGGGACCTAGCTGTGTTTGGAGATTTGGAGATTCGATATTGCGTGTTGCTTGACTAAAAGCTAATCTGCTTGCCACCTGCTAAAGAGATGCTGGTCGCATTTTTAAAATCGGTTCTAGTAAAATACGCGGCTTCACTTTGACGTAATATTTCTGCTGTGATCATGTTTCGTTCCACTAAAGCGATACCATCATTTATTTTGGTTTTGTTTTAAACCAAAGTTGCCCTTCAGCTGCCATTTTTTTCATTTTTGTATGTTGGACTTTCTTTATTAGTTTATTGCTAAATTTGTTTGTTAGTAATATCTAGATCTCAGTGTTTGCCATAATGCGCGAGGCTGAAATGCATCGCTTCACCTTTCTGGAATAACTAAGGTGCAAACAGAAGGCAGAGGTTTCTTTAACAAAACTTTCCATCTGCCGTAAGCAGGTGTTCTTACACGAAGAAACCTTGCTGTACGAGTAAAAATAAAATGGACATCCCATTTGGGAAAGCTAGGGAGCGAATCGAAACCTGCATGGGAGTGCAAGAGTTGATTGTGCAAGGGGGCCCAGCCAAAGAGACCACAGGCCTCTTTGGTTGGACCCCCTTACGCCCATTGCATTGTAGTAATGATACGGGAATACGGGGGATATTTTTGATTGGCCATGCAATGACTGTTGCACAGCATTTTTATTGAAGAATTCTACTGCTGTTCGTTTTATCAGCATATTTCTTGACCTGAGCTTTCTGCCATAAGCGATGGCTGTTTTCGACACATTTATGTCTAGTACCTGTCTTCGAAATTGTAATGCAGACGTTTACTTACAAAAATCAGGACCTCTTGCAGACACCCTAATTGCAAACTCTTTTCGCAGTTTTCAAGGCGCCACAGACAGCAAGGGCTTGTCGCCATTCAGTAAAAAGGTAAAAAAATGTTATGTTTTGCATATTACTGTAAAATAGTGGTAACACAGGAAATTTTGATAGAAGATACGGTGGACCTTGCTCAGAATGTTTTTTTTTTAAATGATCTATTGCGCTTGGTTTGCATATTTATTGGTATGTCTCTTCTGCCTCAAGTGACACGAACCTTCTTCGAGCTTGTGTTGGGAAATTCTCTTGTCTTGCCTAATGTAATGCTCTATAGGCCGCTTCAAGAACAGCTCTCTGGCCACCGCTAGTTTGCGACTCTCGCAGTCCCTATTAGCTAAAACTTTCTGCCACCTGCGCGGGTTGCGAAAACCCAGTTAGTGTGACCGTCCAGGTGCGTTGTGCATTCGAAATTTGCCAGCCTCTCTCGAAAGTCTTTACTTTATTTGCTATTGCAGCTGCTCGCCTGTTTTGTGTTATCTTCCACTGTAAGAAACAGTAATTGCGAGGGCGCTTAACCTGTTCGGCCTTCGCGGGAAACGAATGAAGAGAGCGGATGTCAAACAACCCGTGACGCGGGCCATTCGACGTTCTTAGAGTATTATCTTTGCTAAAATAACCTTCCGAAAGTGTTTGCGGTTTCCGCGGAAATGTCTAATCGGGTGCAGGATAGAGAATGAAACAGATGGGTCAATTTCGTTGCCTCGTTGCTGTGCAATAAGCATGCTCGCCTCAAAATATGCATTAAAACAAGTTTGAAATCCGTGCGATCATTTTGAAGTGACTTTTGTAGACACTGTAGATTTGATATTTTGCGTTATTTGCTCAAATAAACCTGGTTCGGACAATGCGCTACCGTGGGCCACATACGATATGTTGTTCGATTGACAACACTCGTTGATTTTCACGTTGTGAGGTGGGAATACTCATACCTTTTGGCCATCTTGTGTGGTTAAATATTTCCGCAGTTAAGACCTCGGTAGGCTGACACGGCTGAGTGTATGGCGGCGTGAGGAGGAGGAGGAGGAAAAACTTTATTTGTCTTAGGGTGATTGTTGAGCGGGCAGGATAGGGAGCTTATCCCCGCCTGGTGGCTAGGAGTCCATGGACCCCAGCGACCCACTCAGCCCGTTGGGTGACCCTGTCCTGAAGGACCGGGTCCGAGCTGAGCAGCGTGGCCTCCCACTGCCCCAGGGTAGCAATGCCAGGCCCGTCGGGCCAAGGGTCCTTCGGGCAATTCCAAATGATATGGGTTAGGTCTGCCCTCCCATGGCATAGCGCACAAGAGGGGGTGAAGAGGCCTGGGTGTATATGGGAGTAGAGGACCGGATTGGGATATGAGTTGGTCTGGAGCTGTCGCCACGTAGTGGCTTGAGCTCGAGGCAGGGAAGGGTGTGGGGGAGGGTAGATGCGCCGCCTTAGTCGATAATGGTTTGTGATCTCGTGGAAGGTGACCAATCGGTCCCGGGCCGTGCGAAACTCCATCCCAGGAGGTGCGGGGTCCCCAGCCCGGTCGGTGAGTCCTCGGGCGGAAGTGTGGGCGGCCTCGTTGCCAGGAAGGGAGGAGTGCGCAGGGGTCCAGATTAGGTGGACAGAATGGTGAGGAGGGTGTGTGGTGAGAAGGCGTAGGGTGTAGGGGGAAACTCGCCCCTTCATGAAATTACGGATAGCTGTTTTGGAATCGCTAACGATTGTGGTGGCGGAGGTGTTGGTCATCGCCAGAGCAATGGCGAACTCTTCTGCCTCTTCTGAAAGTGTAGTGTAAAGAGTTGCGGAGGTCAGAAGGGAGCCTGCATCGTTAACCGCCGAGAGGGCAAACGCCTCTCGGCGGGTGTATTCAGCGGCGTCGACGTAGGCCACGTCCTCTCGGCCGCCGAGTCGCTTATGGAGGGCCTCGGCGCGCTTAAGGCGCCTCTGTTCGTGATATTGAGGGTGCATGTTTCGTGGGATAGGAGAAACCTGGAGTGATTGGCGGATATCGAGGGGTAGGGAGCATTTGTGAGATGGGTTGGATGGGAAGTTAATCTGCAGCGACGTGAGGATGTGTCGGCCTGCCTGAGTAGTGGATAGCCGTTCGTATTGTGCGGTGAGATGGGCCTCGGCTAATTCCTCGGCCGTGTTATGGACTCCTAATTTAAGGAGTCTATCGGTGGAGGTAGAGGGCGAGAGGCTGAGGGCCGCCTTGTAGGTTTTTCTAATAAGGGCGTTAACTTTGTCGAGCTCTGCTCGCTGTAGGGGAAGGTAGGGAGTGGAGAAGACAAGTCGGCTAATCACAAAGGCTTGGACCAGCCGAAGCATCTCCTGCTCCTTGAGGCCATGATGTCGTGAGGAGATTCGATGAATGAGTCGGAGCGTTTGATCTACGCTTATTTGTAGTTTTTGTAATGCTTGTGTATTCTTGCCGTTGTTTTGGATTAAGAGGCCCAGAACTCGTATGGTAGGAACTTCAGGGATGAGATGGTTGTTTACTTGCAACCTGATTTCGGGAGGGGTCGTGGCCACTCTGCTGGGGCGCAGTAGGAGGAGTTCGGACTTTTGTGGAGAGCAAGATAAGTTGGCCGCTCCCACGTGTACTGCTATGATGTCCACGGCGGATTGTAGCGTGGCCTCAATGTGTCCATCGCTGCCACCTCCCATCCACAGCGTAATGTCGTCTGCGTAGAGACTATAATGAAGTCCCGGAAGGGTGTTAAGTTTAGCCGGAAGGGGTAAAAGGGCTAAGTTGAAAAGGAAGGGGGAAAGTACGGAGCCTTGGGGGGTACCGTAGCTTCCCAGTTGTATGGGATCGGAGGTGAGGGACCCTAGTGTAATGGTTGCCTGCCTGTCAGTTAAGAAAGCCTTGATGTACCCGTACATGCGGGGGCCTGGGTTAATGGCGGCTAGGTTAGTAAGGATTGCCTCGTGCGAGACATTGTCAAAAGCCTTGGTGAGGTCGAGGCCTAGGATGGCTCGGGTGTCGCGAGAGCTAGTGGGTTGTAGGATTTGATGCTTAAGCTGTAGCATCACATCCCGGACTGAGAGGCCGGCTCGAAAGCCCACCATCTGCGGAGGGAGGAGATGCTTGTCCTCCACGAACGCCACGAGGCGATTCAGGGTGACGTGCTCCATCACCTTCCCGGCGCAAGACGTGAGCGAGATCGGCCGGAGGTTTTCTAAGACGAGGGTCTTACCCGGCTTTGGGATAAAGATAATTTTTGCGGTTTTCCAGGCGGGGGGAAGATTGCCTGTTTTCCAGCATTCATTCATGTATCTTGTGAGGGCTTCTATGGATGGGTCATCCAGGTTGCGAAGGGCCTTGTTAGTGATTTGGTCGGGGCCGGGCGTCGAGTTGGTATGAAGCTGAAGCAGAGCCGCACGAACCTCGGGGACCGTAATGTCCGAATCCAGGAGGGGGTTACTGGACCCTGCATACGGGGGCAAGGAAGTAGTCCGGGGGACGCCTACGTATCGCGATTGGAGTTCCTGGAGGAGTTCGTCCTCAGTCCCCGGCCATTGGTGCAGGAAAGTATTAAGTCGATGTTGCTGCTCGTGCTTGCTTGAGGTTGGATCAAGGAGGTGACGAAGCAGAAGCCATGTGCGCTTAAGCCCCAATTGCCCTTGCATCTTGTCGCATATCTGGCCCCATTGTTGGGTTAGTAACTTCAGAGAATATTCTTCAATTTCTCTATCTAAGTAGGCTATTTTGCGGCGTAACTTGCGGTTGTGCCGCTGAGTTTTCCATCGCTTATGTAGGCTGGACCTCGCCTCCCAGAGACGAAGGAGGCGGGCGTCTATTGCCTCTAAGTGGGCTTCGTCTGGGATGTCCGTGGTGTTCAGTTGAATGTCTGTTAGGAGAGTGGAGGCCCACTCTTCTAGGTTGGTAATGGTTTCGGTTGCAGATGCCTCTCTACTGGCCCTAAAGTCGTCCCATTTAGTAATGCGGAGGCGGTTGCGACGGGATTTTCCAAGGCACCCCCCTACCGTGGTTTCAAGTATGTAGTGGTCACTACCTAGCGGTTCTCCGAGATTTCGCCAGTTTAAGAGGGCTGTGTTGTGTGTGAACGTTAGGTCCGGTGTCGTGTCAACCGTTACGCTGGTACCTATTCGTGTTTGCTGGAGGGGGTCCGTTACCAGGGTGATACGGTGTTGTTGCGCTTGGGTCCATATATCCCGACCCTTGGGAGTGCATGTCCTGTAACCCCATGCCGTGTGGGAGGCATTGAAGTCTCCCACTATGACCAGGCCGTGAGGACCCGCCTCCCTTAGGGCACGCGAAAAGAGAACGCCAAATCTGTGTTTGCGAGCCGACGGGGGGCTGTATACGTTTAGTATATAGAGACGGGGATCGCCTTTCCGCTGCGGAAGGATCTCCAGGAAGTCGTGCTCGACGTCAACTCCGCCAAGGCTTTTGTATGAAGCGGTTAGGTGTCTACGTGTGAGGATGGCGGTATTGGGTTCCTTATTATCAGGATTTTGGAAAGTTCTATAGCCGGCAAGTTTGACCAGGCCGCGGGTTTCCTGAATCGCTATGATATCGGGGGGTGTTTCGAGGGATTGTATGTAATGTTGGAGATTGCCACGTTTCCGTCGGAAGCTGCGGCAGTTCCATTGCCAGATAGTGGTTTGGTGTCTACTGAGGCGTGGCGGGTGGGGGAGAGGTAAAGCCATACTCAGGGATGCACTGTTGGAGGTAGGGTGTGGATAGTGGGGGTGGTAGAGGATTGGAGGACCCTGCCTGGGATGAGAGGTTGGTGAGTTGGTCCATTTGACCGGTGAGTTGGGCCAATTCGGAGGAGCGCTTTGAAACAATGCCTTCGATTGCCGTAAAACGGCTGTGAACGTTTTGCTCTAAGGTTTGCAGTCTGGCACTGAAAGTGCGAGACATTTCGGTCATTGACTCTGAGAGTCGGCGTAATTCGTCTACGATTTGGACGTCATTAGTATCGATTGCTCTACGCTTGGTAGGCTGGGCGGCGCTATCAGGCGAGGGTATGGCGACTGCAACGGGTTGTGGGAGAGGGACAGGAGTGGGTGCTGGAGGGGTAACCTCTTTCTGTTTAATTAGGGTTCGTAATTCAGTATTTTCCTTCTGAACGGCAGTGATTAATTTCGTGAGGGTTTGGACCTCTCGCCGTAGAGCCGCGAGCTCGTTGTCTCTGGCATCACCACCCGTGGAACCGGAGGCCACATTAGCCCAGCTCACCTGTTTGGTGGCCGCTGGTTGTCGGGGCGGCTCGTCTTGCGGGACCTGGCGCGGTTTGGACCTGGATCTGGATCGTGGTCGGGGTCTGGAGTGAGTACGGGACCGGGATCGAAATCCGGGCTCGGAGGGTACTGATTTGCGTTCCCTGGACCTGCCACGGGGGGGCGGTGGGGTTGAACTTTTGCCGAAATCGCCGACCGGGCGTTGTGCCTGACGGCGGCGAATGGCAGGGTGTTCTTGAAAGCGTTTCTTGCACCTCGGGGAACCCGTGGGGTGGGGTCCTCGGCATACGGCGCATTTCACTTCACAGTCGTGGTCAGTGGGCGGATTGTCGATTCCGCAGCGTGGGCACTTATTGGCTCTCGGTGAGGGGCACACATCTGCCCTATGCCCGATCTTCCAGCAGATATTGCAGGCCTCCGTCTTGTGTTTGAATAGTACGCAGCGGTAGGGGGCCCCGTGGTAGCTGACCCAGTGGGGCACCTCCGGGCTGTCGAAGACTATTAGCACGGAGTTAGTTTTTCCCATCCGGCGGGCAAGGAGAATAGCCGGGTCGTGATTGTAGTCGATTAGGTATCGGCTGATGTTGTCCGGTGTATCGTATTCTGGAACATCAAAGATGATTCCGCGTGAGGTGTTGGCAGGATCTGCTACGTATGTGGCCAGGGGATAGTTCTCCTCTCCGATGCGTAAGGTGTGAAGGTTGAAGTACGTGCGCGCCCGCTCTTCGGAGGGGGTGCTGATTAGTATAGAGTTTTGAGTAGCGTTGATTCGGATTTGGTCGGCGCGTGCGGCGTCGTAGTTGGTCTGGGCAGCGTTGAAGATAAGGTCTTGCAGCTTGCCTGTGCTCATGGAGCTTAGGTTGAGGCCACCACGTGGACGAATGACGATCTTGTAGTCGTCGTCAGGTAGTCTTGGGAGCTGCGGCGGGCGCGGCTTGGAGCCAGGCCTTGGCGAGCTGCGGGAAGCCAGACGCTCGGCTGGGTTCGATGGCTTCGGTGAGGGTGCTTTCGGCTGTCGAGCCTTCTTTCTGGCCGTATGGACTGGGATCCAGTCCGCATTGAGGTCCTCCGGGGCGATGACTTCTCCCTCGACGACGACCTCCATGTTGGGGCAAAGGGCTGGCAGATATTCGCCGCTCGTTGAACGAGACGCCGATCTCTCCGCGGACGGGCGGCGGCGGGCCGACGGATCGGGGCGGTGTTTTTTCGCGGCGTGAAAAATCTGCGTAAAATGGCACAAACACTTCAGTTGCATTCGTTCTGTCATCAAGGACTCACCGAAAGTAGCTTTAATTTGTATATTTCTGCTTCCAAAGATAGTAGAATGCTTTCTAAAGATAATAAAAAAATATATTTGCATATTTAAAAAAAAAAAAAAAAAAACAGTAATTTAGGCGCCAGCAGTGTGCGGAATCGAGCCTACGCAGGCTGCCACAACCCACTGACGACGAAATTCCCGACAACACTGACGGACACATAGAAAACCGGAAATGCGCGCTGTAAATCGCCTGGTTAGAGATAGAGTTGCGCGTTCATCTCCGCAGCGCCGTCTTTCCTGCACGGCAGGTTTATCCCGCTCGTCACGTGACTGAATTCGGCGAATAGCGGCGCCGCGCGTTCGAGGCGCGCGGCGCGCTCAGAAGCAGGGGAACGTACGTCGGGGCGCGTGCAACGTCTACTTTCCTGCACGGCACTTGATTCGGCTCCTCACGTGATCGGATCTCGGCAAATAGCGGCGCGGCGGCACGTGGAAAACAGACGTGCAACTCTGGCTCCCGTAGGGAGCCTATACAGGAACTCCGGTTGGAGGCAGCTAGTAGAAAGGTATAGTCTTTGATAGGGTGAGGATCCGGCTGACGCTTTACCTTCAGCAAACGCTCATTGCCTCTCGCCGTGTTTTGGCTGCGCGTTTGGTGAGGCGTCGTCAGGTGCAGGAAGTTCGAACTGAACGGGGACCATCTACCGAGGTCGTAAGCTGTCGTCGACTATAGCTAGAAAATTACAACCTCTCGCAGACTCACTAATCATAGTCTTTTTCCCTGTTTCCGTTCGCCACCGACGGACAGGGCTTCTCGTCGTCGAGTTAAAAGCTGAGCATTTTTGCATGATGCATTTGAACGCAGTGTTCCCGAGACAAAAACAAACGGCTTAACACTCTCTTGCAGTGGCTCGGTGAATGTGGAGCTCGTGAAACATTTTAACATATTTTACACACTTTACATACTTCTGTGTTTGTCACTTAATGCATTACGCAGCAACAGAAGCATGTAGATTTGTGATCCTTCCGGTCAGAAGAACGTAGCAAAACCTTGTCATTGCCAAGTGATCTGCTACTGGGTGAGATTTCATCCTAGAGCAGATTTATTGATACCCGATACAATAGCACTTTTATTAAATTCCTTTTTTGAGAATACGAAAAAAATTTTGGATTCCAATAAAATGGGGTTTATTGGGACCCACTACATTTGGGAATCGTTGGGGTCCAATACAGTAAGGGTTATTGAAGTCAAATGCAATACGCTTTATTGTATTGGTTTACAATTTCCATAATACGATAAAACTTATTGGACTTATTGGACTTTTTCAACAAGGACGAGTGTAGCCATAGCACTGCGAGCTTGTTCTCACCCCGTTCTGCGACAATTGAAGTCAGATAAGCAAACAATGCCGCCTGGTTAACATCCGAGGACTCGCGCAGCATTGAAATAAAATGCAGTTTCATATCTTACGGTTCGCAAAATTCTGTATGTGTTTTTATTGAGACCAGAATTGAAATGAAGCATTTCGAGGCAGTTACAGTCTTACACGGTCAACAGCCTTATGACGAAACGCCGTGAGTTAGCAAAAATTATAATGTCAGCTCTGTTATACATTAAGGACGTGCTGGAATCACTTGGAAATGAAATAAAGCAATAACTTCCGTGGTAATACCTAAAACTATATACCGGCATTCAAATAAATCTACGCGTGCATAGAGGATTTATACGTATTTTAAGAAAGATTACCACCACCCAGATCGGTTAAGATAAACTAAGCTCGATCGGTTTCGCGGGACCTTCGAACTCATGTAATAGCACGCTCCACCGGCACTAAACTTTCACGAGGCGCATAAGTTTCTGTGTAAATGCATCTTAAAGGGCTTCTAGCCAGTCTAGTTTATCCCGAGCAGTGGCCATAAGTACCCGTTCCACAAAAGCGCTTTTTAGCTTTTATACTTTTCTCAATGGACTTGCTTTACCACTTCGTATCGAAAATATATTCAGGCGGTATACGCACTTTCATGCGAGATAAGAGGAGAGAACACTTGCGCGAAAAATAACGAAAAGCGAGTGCAGATTACGGAAGTGGCGAGCTTGACTGCGGCTGAAGTAAACACAGACTGAAAAGATGATTACATCTCCAGGAAACTTAGATGGGGCTCTCATCCCCAAGCCTGGTTTATACAGCCATGATTGTGCTTTCTGACGCCTTGATATAGTGTCCCTCTTTTTCCCACCTCTGGCACTATGAATGCACTAAAACAACAGCAGTTTCGGAGTGTCCACGTGGAGAAAAGGGAGGAAAGATAGGCAGTAGCGGTGCGGTAAGACGAGGCCCCAAAACACTTTTATCTGCTGCCCGGCGAGGTGCGCGCTCTCGTATGAATACGCTTTCAAAGTACGATGAGAAGGTCGAGTACAAAGGAGGGAGATGAAAGAACTGAGAATATTTGTTATAATTTTGTTTTTCTTTAAAAAGAAAACTTCGAAAAGCACCGGAGTGGAAACCAATATTCCGATATAATATATATATATATATTTGTTTTGCAAAATTTAAACTTTCTTTGTTTTAAACGTTTGCCTATCAGCCTCGAGTACTTTCGTTATTATGTTTTCGTTTTCTTCATTGCTTTAAACTGTCGAATACAAAAAATGTAGCGCAGTTCTACACTCTAACGAAAACGCAGTGGCCTTCGCTCGCGCACCAGTGTTGCCGCAGCTTACAAGAGTGATGGGGCGCACTCCTACCAACAAAGCAATGATATTCAACAATTTACGAAGTTAGGATGACCGAGGATGCTCATCTGACTGCTTTGTGTCACAACGCCTGAGCGCAATTAAA